AGTTTTATTTTTGTAAATTAAATATTAATTTATTTTTAGAAAGAAAAATAAAGTTTTTAATATTTTAAACTACAAATTTTTGTCAATAAAATTTGATTTATCAAATAAATAAATTGAAAATTATTTACTATTTAGCAAAAGTAACAGTAACTACACAGAGACTACAGCGATAGAGCGATAGAAGCTGATTCCACATTTCCTGGAGAACAATACACCTGGTGAATACCACTAACAAACTATTGTCCGGTAATCGTCGTTGTTTCATTCATGCGCAATGTGTCGAGTTCTCCCTTTCAGGTCAAAGTTCACTTCTAATTAACCTTCAATTAAATTACTTTTAATTCATTAATTAACACAATTAATTATATGTATTATATATTTACAAGCTTTATTCATAAATACATTTGATAAAAAATAAATGGTTGATTTATCACATCAATGTGCAATAAGGCATGCGCTTCGTAGTACAACTGTTAAAATATTTTCATAAAAGCAAAAAAAAATTTTTTTTTAATTAATTATCAATAACAAGCCATCGGTCGGTCATTTTTTCAATCTGCTTAGTTGTGATGGGGTTCCTCACTCGGATTTTTATTTCGAGCTGTCCTCCAGCAGCTTTTCTTCCGTTCATTAACTGTAATAATTTTTTCATTTTTATTTTTATTATTAATAAAAATTTAATTTTATTAATTGTTAATAAATATTGTAATGCATACCGGGAATGTGTCATGCAATATACATTGAGTTTCCAGTGGTTGGAGTTTAACAGTAACAGTACCCAGTAAATTATCGCTTCGAAGAAATCCTCTGTAATAAAATAATAATTTAATTAAAATAAATAAACATTATTATTAAGTCGTACCTGGGGTGTAGGCAACACATCAAAGGATTTGTTGAGCATCTGTAAATTAATATGTCCTAATCTACAGGTGTACTTTTACGAATAGTCAATAGATAATATAAATAAATAAATAAATAAAATAAATAAAAATAGGAGAAAGTTGTCTAAAAATTTCTAACAAGCAGGAAAATTAAATAAATAAATAAAAATTATAAAAAATTACCCTTTGGACCATACTTGACACTTCAAAGAGTGTCTTTTATAAGTTCGCTGACACTGCCTGGAAGATCTGTCAATGCTACCGGTCAATGTAAAAGTTGCGTCGTACTCTGGAGCGCTCGTATTACGGACCGTCGATGTTCTGTCAGTCGGCGAGTTCTCGGTCGGGTAAGGGAACTCGTAGATAACGTAGCTATCAACTTCTTTTGGGTAGTTGACTCCGCGGATAATAGACAATTCTACGTCACTGTCTGTTAAATCTGTACAGCTCCTGATATAATTATAAATATTTTATAAATAATATTGATTATGATTTTAAATTTATAAAATTAACAGATATCTGAAGTTTTGTGATTTTTTTTTTAAATTGCATAGATAATTTTTTTTAATTTTGAACAAGAAAATTACTTGTATCTTTAAAAATATCATTAGTTGACACATCGTCATTTCTTAATGATTGACGTTTTTAAAGATATAAACTCATCCTGATGTTACACTTATCGAGACCTTTCATTTGAATACCCACATGGCATTTTTTATATATTTTATATATATGGTATTTGTAAAGTATATAAATATATAAAATATATGAAAAATTGATGTGGGTACTCAAATGAAAGGTCTTGATGAATGTAATGTCAAGATGAGCTTATATCTTTAAAAATGTCAATAGTTGACAAGATACAATGTAATTTCTTAATTATTGAAATTTTTAAAGATATAAGCTCATTCCGATGTTACACTCATCGAGACCTTTCATTTAAGTACCCACATGCATTTTTATATATTTTTCATTTATACATATATATAATATATATAAATATATGAAAAAATTGATGTGGGTACTCAAATGAAAGGTCTCGATGAGCGTAACATCGAGATGAGCTTATATCTTTAAAAATGTCAATAGTTCACAAGATACAAGGTCATTTCTTAATTATGTATCTAGAGATAGAGAATTATCGAATGCGCAGCCTAAATACTTATCATAAAAAATCGACTATTGATGAAAATGAAATGAAACCTTGAAAAGGCACAAATTCAAGTCAAGATCTTTGCAATGACACTAAATTTCATTAAAAAAACCGATTCTATCAAATGGAAACAAAATTTTTCTCATTCTCTTAATAATATAGATTATCTAAAACTTTATTTATTACAAAAATATTAAAATTAAATTTTATAACAATAATAGTATTTGAAATTTTAATTTTTCCTTTTTTTTGGTCAAAATACTTGATTATTAAAATTTACACCATGAACTGTAAAATTTTATTTTTTTTTTCCTACATATTAATATTTTTTTCTCCAAAAAAAAAAATAGTTAAAATGAAATAATCTTGAGTATCAAAAAAAGGCCAAAAAACTAAAACCAAGAGAACAAACTAGTTAAAAAGAGTTGATAGTAACGATAAAAGTTAGAAATGAAAAAAGTTGCTTAGTGGTAGCTTCTTAAGCAAAAACTATTGCAGGTGAGGAGAACGATGGTCCAGCAGTAACCCCGAGCGCAGTGTACCTCCGCGTAAACCGCCGCCGAACGGACCTGATGCCGACGATACCGTCGCCAAGGGACACGCCACCGATGTCGGGCCGTAGTTCGAGCGCCAAGGCCTTCACACGCTCTCCAGGTAGGACTTACTCAATGTCGAGGCTGGATC